TTATTACTTTTGGCAATAATTCAATGATTTGACGCCAAATTACGAAATACTGTTTATTGATTTTGTCTACGATTACAATAACACATATCATATTTAACATACCGGTGCTGTGCGCTAATACCTATGCTTAGAATATTATACTCAATATCTAACAATACTAGCTTATTGCCCATTAAAAGGGGTATATAATTGCATACCAACTTTGCAAACATTAGGCCTTTTCCATAGCGTTCTCGTGTATTGCTTAAGGCTCTGCCTGTAGGCAGCGATCAGAGGCAAAGAGAGTGTGAGAGAGAGAACGCACTACACGTACTGTTTTTTCCCTGTTGGCTTATATAATAGATTATATAACTTATATGTTTGTATCGGTTATGTTTGTATACAGTATCAGTGATAGTGTGAGTGAACAGTTTGACAGTATGCGTGCATTACTTTGTCTTTATATGCGGTATTGCCTACAGTAATTAGCGATTCCCTTATTAGCGGTACATTTATCATTATAAGTCCATAGGAGCTGCCGGTGCAGCAAAAGTAATGCACTAAAGCCGGTATTCCCTACACATGTATGTGGAACCAGTGGAACCACTAGAAGAGGTGCAAACTGTATGACTGTACATGAAAACTTTTGTTCATCTCAAATCTCAAAAATGTATTGAAAATAGCAGTGGTTTTGCCTATGCGTTACATCCCTATCACGTCAATAGCAATCATTAGCACTCATTTGACAACACATTGTGCGGCACTTTATTAGTGACTCAATGTTTTCGTCAATATTTGAATGATTTAAATGAAATGATTTAATGTTAAAGTGTATGAAAGTGTATGAAAGTGTAATAAAGCGATTGAATGTTTTCAATGTGTTGTCTATTTATAATATGCGCCAAAATGTGTGGCGAATAGCATTAAGACAAGTGTTAAGCACTGAATGTGTAACAAAATGATTGGCTCTTAAATGTGATGTACTTTTCTGTACAAACAAATGGATATGAATTATGTTTATATAAATGCATTACAAATGCATTACATTTGCTTACAATTGAATCACTATATGTTTGACGTAATTAATAGGCGTTTCGTATTTGAGTGATAGAGTGATAGCCTATAGGATAGGAATCAGTGTTAAAAGTGAAGAGAATCGCCGGTTGTCTCACATCTGATCCAAAGAGAGTCTTAAGACAACACAAATGTCTATTCAATTGAATCGCAATTCAATTGTTGTCATCGTTTTGTTGTTTGCGTTCACTTTCGGTGAGTTGTTTGACATAAGAGTCACTCATGACATGTGTTAACCCGTTATGTGATTGAAGGCAAGTGTTTGGCCAACGATGACATCGAGGGAGATGTGGATGGAGTGGTCGATGGGGTAACAGTGGTTCCGGACTTGGGATCAGGTCGGGAGGGCTCGCGTACTGACGATGAAGTGGTGGTGAGGGAAGAGGAGGCCATCAAATTGGACGGCATATCAGTGTCTCAATTGAAACAATTGCGAGAATCGGCCGAAAAGTTTGCATTTCAGGCCGAAGTGAACCGAATGATGAAATTGATTATCAATTCGTTGTATCGAAACAAAGAGATCTTCTTAAGAGAACTCATTTCTAACGCTTCCGACGCTTTGGACAAAATCAGACTTTTGTCGCTCACAGACTCCTCTGCATTGGATTCAACTCCAGAGCTAACCATCAGAATAAAGGCCGACAAAGACAACAATATGCTTCATATCACAGACACAGGCATTGGAATGACTAAACGGGATCTGATCAACAATTTGGGAACCATTGCAAAGTCAGGCACTTCTGAATTCCTGCAAAAAATGGGAGACATTAATGAAATGACGGAAATGAATGACTTGATCGGACAGTTTGGTGTCGGTTTCTATTCGGCGTTTTTAGTGGCGGACAAAGTGGTGGTCACCTCTAAGAACAATGACGATCCCATCCAACATATCTGGGAATCAGATTCGGCACAATTCACAGTCGTTGAGGACCCCCGAGGAGACACTCTTAAGAGAGGATCACAAATATCATTGGCATTGAAAGAAGAGGCCAAAGATTTCTTACAAGAAGACACACTCAAGAATTTGATCCGCAAATACAGTCAATTCATTAACTTTAAGATCTACTTGTGGTCGAGTAAAACAGAGACCGTTGAAGAGCCCATCGATGATGACAGCGATTCCAACACTCAAGACGTTAAGAGCGAAGAGAGTGTCGACGAAGAGGCGAAAGTAGAGGACGAGAAGGAAGAAAAGAAGGCCAAGACTAGAAAAGTGGAGAAAACGATATGGGATTGGGATTTAATCAATAGCTCGAAACCCATTTGGACGCGAAAACCACACGAAATTACAGACGAGGAATACAATGAGTTTTATAAATCCATTACTAAAGACTCATCGGAACCGCTCTCCAAAACTCACTTCATAGCTGAAGGAGAGGTGACATTCAAGTCATTGCTTTTCGTCCCCAAAACACAACAATCCGATACTTTCAACAAATATGGCACTAAAACAGATAATATCAAGCTTTATGTGCGCCGAGTGTTCATTACCGATGATTTCCAGGACATTGTTCCCAATTATCTGAACTTCATTAGAGGAGTGGTAGACAGCGATGATCTGCCCCTCAATGTGTCGCGAGAGACACTACAACAGCACAAACTGCTGAAAGTCATTCGAAAGAAATTGGTTCGCAAGGCATTGGATATGCTTAAGAAGATATCAGACGAAGACTACCAAAAGTTTTGGTCAGAATATTCAACAAATATTAAGTTAGGAGTGATTGAGGACACGGCTAATAGAGTACGTCTGGCAAAGCTGTTGCGGTTCAGGTCGTCGAATGAAACACAAGACAAATGGACATCACTTTCGTTATACGTGAAGAGAATGAAGACAAAACAGGAACACATCTATTATATGGCGGGAACCAGTTATGAAGAGGTCTCCACATCTCCTTTCGTCGAACGTCTCCTTAAGAAAGGCTATGAAGTGTTGTATTTGACAGACGCTGTGGACGAGTACACCATCTCTGCTCTGCCAGAGTTCGAGTCCAAGAAATTTCAAAATGTAGCCAAAGATGGCTTAAAGTTGACGGACAATGAGAGAGCTAAAGACAAACAGGAGGCTCTCGAGAAGGAGTTGGAGCCCTTAACCAAATGGCTCACTGAAGATGTACTTAAAGACAAGATCTCGAAAACAAGTGTCTCACAGCGTTTGCATGACTCTCCCTGCGCTCTCATTGCCTCTCAATTCGGTTGGACTGGAAATATGGAGAGATTGGCGCGAAGTAACGCTCACTCCAAGTCTCAGGACTCGATGCGTGACTTTTATTTAAGCCAAAAGAAAACGCTTGAAGTGAATCCAAGACATCCACTCATTAGAGAGCTCTCACGAAGAATAGAAGAAAACAAAGACGACACGATAGCTAAGAATATGGCTCTTCTAATGTACGAAACGGCAACTCTGAGGTCAGGTTTCATGCTTTCCGATACCTCTTCCTTCGCACAGAGAGTGGAAACACTTCTGAGGAAAACGCTGGGCGTTGACGAGTCAGCACAGGTATCATTCGTATTGATTAACTGATTGATTGATTAACTCTTGAATACACTTTAAGGTTGAAGAGGAAGAGGATGACGACGAGGACACACACACTGCTAAAGCGAGTGACGCGAGCGAGAGTTTAAACGCCGAGGAGGAGGAGGTATTGATTGCTTGCATTTGTTTGTTTTACATTCAATTGACGTTTTGAATACTTTTCAGGAAAAGCCTGAATATGGAGACCACGAAGAACTGTAAAGACATTTAGTTATAGATTGTATTGTATTTATCTTTTAATAATTCAATTCTCGATGAAATTTACATTCAATTCATAAATTCATTTACAAGACATCACTTATTTGTGAACCAAATTAACTCTAATTTTATAATTTAATAAAAAACAGTTTTATTGAGAAGTGATTAGCGTTTTCTCTTATTCTTCTTTGAGCTGTGATTTTGTTTGTGATTAGTATTTGCTTTAATAAAGTGATGGATGGGTTCAATGACATGGCGTTTACCAAAAGGTTGGCTGCGGTGGACGTCGACACCGCTGTCCCGTCGGTGCACTCGAAACCCGATATAACCGGCAATATGTGAGTCATTGCTAGCCTTTAAATGTCGATCATTTGATTGATTGGTTTGATTGCAATCATTGTTTGCATTGTTTGCCACCAAATGAACCAAATGATGGTTTTGTGGTTCCGACTTGTCTGAGAGGTATGAATGGCACTCATATTGAGAACCCAGTGGTAACTCATCCGTAATGCATGCCATCGATGGTGTGTTCACATCAATCACACATCCGTTCAGTGACTTCTTGTTGAGCGCCGAAGGGATGCGAATGAGAAACACTTGTCTTTCATTGGATTCAGTCATCTCTTCAGTCATCTCTTCAGTCACACCGAGTTGTGTCACGTGTGGGTCGTTCACAAAGTATGTACGCCTGAGTCGGGCCTCACATACAGGACGTGGTGTGAAGTGAAGGCATTGTTTGATATCCTTTTCCGGAATCGCTTGCAATCAAAGCGTTTGTATTTGAATTGTATTTGATTTGAGTTGCGATCACTTGATTGAATCCAGACATCAGACATGGAGGACGAGTCGGCACAACCGAAGAAGCGTACGTTCAAGAAGTTCACGTTCAGAGGCGTGGATTTGGATCAACTGTTGGACAAAAACAACAAAGAGTTGATGGAGTTATTCACGTGTCGTATGAGACGTCGGCTCTCGAGAGGACTCAAACGCAAACCAATGGCTTTAATGAAGAAATTAAGGAAAGCTAAGAAAGAATGTCAACCTCTGGAGAAGCCGGAAGTGGTGAAGACTCACTTGCGGGACATGATTGTGATGCCAGAGATGGTGGGCTCTGTGGTCGGCGTCTACAACGGCAAGACATTCAATCAGGTGGAGATCAAACCCGAGATGATTGGCCACTATTTGGGCGAGTTTTCCATCACTTATAAACCTGTGAAACACGGAAGACCAGGCATTGGTGCCACACATTCTTCACGTTTCATACCTCTTAAGTAATACTAATGATATACGCGTTGTATGTTTGGAATTAATAAAAACAATTGTCTTTAATTGACATTTCTGCATATTTCTGTTATTTATATAATTGATTGACAACTATATCATCATTTGAATTGTTTGTCATGTATGGCACAGTTTGTGGCAATATTTGGTTTGAATGAACTAAATTGGATTCAAATGAATGCAATCGACAGCTCTCACCAGCGTTTCATAGATCAAGTCCACAAACAGTATCACTAATTAAAAACACATTTTTAGTTGACTTCAAAAGTATTCATAATAATTAGTGGTCCAATAATTGCAAACGTTTAATTATAGCTAGTTAAGTAAGTTAGGTAATAATCATGTAACCATATATTGTATAACAATGTTTATTATTGAAGTGTTACTGTATTCATACAAAAGTATATTCATCAACAATCATGTATTTGAATAGAAATTTACAAATAAATAATTCAAGTGTTGAGAAGTAATAACTATATAATAGTAACTATAGTTGTGTATAAAAACTGATTATAAATCAAATGTAATGTCGAGATTGATATCTATTTAAATTTGTTACAATCAGTAATGAGTAACAAAAATTAGGGAAATATTAAAGTAATTCACATATTATTACAATATATCACTGTTAAGTGTGACTGTATTTATGCCAAACAACACAAACTACACAAATACAGTCAAAACTTTATTTTTAAATACAGTATATTTTAGTTCATTGAGATTTTGAATTCCCGTATTTTGATTTATCACACATTTTGGACATTTTATCTCATTGTATGATAACTAAGAAATTTCAGACTTAATTTAAAATTAGTTAAAACTTAAGTAATAATAAAATAATAAATTGTAATCAAAAGGGTTAAGAGTAAATGAGTTGCTAAAGAGTAAGTGTATTGTTTGACAAATAACTAAATTATGATCAATGTTTCAGTGTTTACAAAATACATATAAAATATATCAAAATGTGTAACTTATTTACAAAATGTCTTATGAAAAGTATGGTCGAGTAAAGTGGAGTAAAGTGTGTAAAATAGTGGAATTCAAGTCATAAATCAGTGACGGGAACCGTAGGTTTGGGCGGAGTTTGTCGGAAGCACTTCATTTCGTTTTGATTGAGCATTATATTGGTTTTGCTTTGCCTGTGATTGTAATGACCGAAGTATTGCTGCCAACGGCGCCGTTGCACCTGTTGTTGGCGCCAACGACACACCACAACACAACTGATCACAAATACTATCACAACCAGTGCTGCGATCGAAGTGATCAAAATTGTGAGTTGAGAGCTCTGGGACTGACGAACCGCTTCATTGAAGGCACACTTTGGGACACTTGTATTCCACACACCATTTGAGAGACATGTCATACTTGGAGAGCCCTCTAATATATAGCTGTCATCACAATAAAAGGCGATTCTTGTGTTGACTTTAATTGATATGGATTTCGATAAATTGGTACTCGAGTTGTAAAAGCCGTGAACAAAGTCACCAATTGTTGGACAATAGTTGGTTTTCTCGGGACAATGAGGCGGTCCTCGAGACCACTGGCCATCTGTCAAGCATTTAGAAGAAGCCTTGGTTTTGGGACTCGTATCGCACGAGAATATGATTACATCTCCGGGTTTATAAGAGTTGCCACTTTTGGATCGCGACGGAAGGATTCGGAGACCAGTGTGCGGACGGATCGGTGACTCGCACTTCACCACAAGACACTCGAGGGATGTCTCGTTCATGTGTTGTAAATCACTCCAAGAGTCGTCTTGTCTGCAATACCTGATTGCGTTCAATGCGTTCAGTTTGAAGCCGGGCTGACACACGTACTCGAGCTTACTGTCCGTCTTTCTCTCCACATCGCTGTAAACAATGCGTCCGTTCGCAACACTTTCCACTTCAGGACACCTTTTCTCTAACAAACAATACATTCAATACATTATACAAACTATTGTCTAAATAGTGCGAAACATTTCACGTACTCTGACAGTTAGGTTTTGGTCGATTCCAGTGGCCGTCAGCCTTACACGTCATAAACGGCACACCAATCATACGAAAGCCATCTTTACATTCATAGACAACATTAGTGTTGTAAAGGAAGTGAGCGGTGACTCTTCGGGTGGCGTCGTCCACATGTCCCGGATCTGAACACTTGACAGCTATTGCATCAACAGATCAACAGTTGTATTGATTAGTATAACAATTATATTATAATAACAATTATGTCATTATGTCATACGTTGACACATGAGATCAATTGGTTGCCAACGAGAGCTCATCACACCATTGGGTCCATCGGTGACCACGCATTGTGTCTCTTCATTGCCGGAGACCTTCTCGTATCCGACATCACATGAATAGATGGCAATCTCTCCCACTTTAAACACATTGTGTTTCTGGTTTCGCATCAGATTTGAGACGGCGTTCACCACAACTGGTGGTTCACCGCAGAAGTCTAGACCAGACAGACATATGTATTGGTATTATAGTATCTATAGATATAGTGATAGACTATTAGTAATGGCCATCACTTACGGAAGTGTTGGTTGCGATCGGTGGCAGTGATGTGGTTGTGTTGGGCCACAGATTGGGCCACATTTGACACATCACTGTCCGAGACGTTGATCACTGAATCGCATCCATTCAACACCAATAACACCAATGATGTGACGATTGAAAGGAGTATTTCATTCAATTTCATCTCATTTTACGGATTCAATCATTTGGAGGACATATAGAGTGGACGACAAGTCATTCAATCCAATCACTGCTCAATCACTACTAAATCAACACATAGTCAACACATCTCTACACAAACACAACAAACACACTATCAGTGCATTGTTTGCCACAACAATAGTTACAATGCATACCATATACTCAATACTACTTACTCTACACTACTCTACACCAGTCAAGTACACTATACACCGCATGCACTATACACTGTACAGTCCCTACAGATGATGCATGATTACAGTTCCCTAATAACACTGCAATACAGTAAACCCGTCACAAACCTCGTTACCAACCCCTACCCCTATAACTGTAACGTTTAGCGTCGAACACACTATGCATTACCCTTACAATTAAATATAAGGATCTTACAAATCTTTTGCGCGATGTCTTTTGATCACCATTTGGGAACAGCTGAAGTGACAATATTGTCACTTCACATCCATGGCCGAAAATATTTTGCACATAAAAATATTTGTGATCACGTGACTATATTTTGTGAAAATGGACCATTTCACGAGACCCACATGGTCCAATCCTACGGTGTTTACGAGAGGGAGGGGTGGGGGTTAGGGTTGGATAGTAGAGATATCAAAGTGTTATACACACTTAAAACATAAAAATGTGAAATCTTCATATGCTTTTTAACTAGATACTTTTAATGTGATGAAATATATAAACATCAAACTAATTAAAACATGTTTTATTTAAAATAAGTACGAAAATTATTTTGGTTCTTTAAATATTCCAAATTTATTAAAGATTGCAAATTCTGTTATATATTCTGCGAATATTTTATTTAAAGTATGAATTCTAAAATTCTATACTATAAAATAATAATGAATTTATGACAAATTAAGTATTCTGTTAAGTATTTAAATAAATTACTTTTTAATAATAGTTGTTAATTTAGTTTAAATTACACAAATCAGTGATTTATTTAGTAAATATGTGTAATATAGATGTCGCTAATATAGAGTGGTTGAAAAATTAGCCTAAATGTTCATCGAGACCCCTAAACGCTCCCTAAATTTAGCCCTAAACGTTGCCAAACTTTCACCATAACATCTCTGCATATAAAGTTCACTAATTTGCCGTTCAAAATACAATTGCTATGAATCATACGTATGATCAAAATCTGTGGTATTTATCTCACATGAAAAGATTTGTTTGGCAGCAGAATTAATGATAAACATTTGTAAGTTGTCTTTTTGAGCATTTTGTAAATTAAAATTACAATCACCTTGCTCAACATAGCCAGATAAACAAGAACATTATGCTGTTATGAAAATGATTAATAATATTATTTTTGTGCAACAAGAATATTGTAGACTAGTTGAGTTGAAGATAATATGTTTAACAACATATTATAATTGTAATTGCATTGTAATTGAATCTAAGTTATTGGAAATGATTGATTAGCAATGAATGTGATGGTAATTGGTAGCTGATAATGGTAAATTAATCATATTTTATCTTTATTGTTGAGTACTCTCTGACCATTTGCATAGAATCTATGCTATAGATAACGAGATTGAAAACAATGAGAAATATTAGCGCAGTATTAATAAAATATTACAGTATAATTATGTAAATGAATATGATCATTTTAGAATGTCATAGATGACAAATTAAACAAAATATTAATTAGGGAGAGCAATAGAGAGCGCTTAAATGATGTTATCATACGGTTAAAGACTGGTATTACATGAGATAAATGTGTTGAATAGGTAGAGACTATACGACACATGCCATCCCATGCCATCCCATGCCATCCCATACGATCATTGCCTTCCCATCCCATTATTCTAGTGATGCCAACATCACTGCTTCTCAGACAGAATCGAGGCATCGCTTACAGTATATGAATGCTTATACTGTTTAGTATATGAATACATGCTTTCGTTATGAAACTATTAGTTAGTGTTAGTTATGAATGTATTAGTTATGAAAGTAATCGTTATGAATGTCTTAGTAATGAATGTATTGGTTATGAATGTATTTGTTAGACGAACGAAGCGTTCGTATTCTCACGAGAGATACATCGAGGTTATGGTTACGGCCGACGCCAAAATGGCCACTTACCATGGTGATAATCTTAAGCATTATGTGCTTACACTTATGGCCACCGTAAGTGTATCAACATTATTGTTATACCTCTGCTAATACTCTTTCATCCAATTATTATCGCTTCCCTTTTCTACTCTTTTGTCAAAAAACTAGTTTTCAGTTATCATTGATTTAATCATTAGTTTACTCATAGGTAGAGCTCATCTATAGTGATGCGAGTATTGGAAACGCTGTTAACATAGCATTAGTGAAACTAACTGTATTGGATGAGAACGAGGTAAAAATGCATTATTCTATATTTTGACCATCACTTACTACAAAGTAAATACTCGTTGAAATTTCAATGCAATTCCTTGCATATCGTATACAATACTGTAGTAATACTACTTTAGACTAAATGTAAAGACTTTATATTGAATATACTGTAGTATATTCCAATAAAATACACAACATGCTACTATTAGTACGAGGTTACAATCAATAAGTGAGCCTAGAATTAAGTGATAGACATTTGAGAAGGTGATCATGATAGTACGAAAGTATTAAATTGGCATGTGTGCTCAAGAAGTGCTGAGTTTTGCAAACACTGGATCACATACTCGTAGAACTTATACGGTATAAGTTTAGAGTTTCAGTCTATCATTAATGCAACATAAGTTCAATAACACTAACCACAGTTCAGTCATAGAGAATACAGTGAATGTAAATACAGGGATGTTATTAAAAAACACACACATCGACAACATTGAATGCAACATTCAGTATACAGTATACTATATGCAAGGTTGGTAAATTACAAGAGAATTTTTGAGGTTATGTAATTTACATTGTAAAATACAAAAATGCACGTAATTTACATGTTTTTTACTTACTATTGGGAAAAAACTTAACATATTTTAAGCCTAAAATTAGACAGTTTTATTGCAATTATAACATTAATTATACATTTATAACATTTTAATCACTAATTGTTTCACATTCGACAATTGATTCGATGTTTCCAAAACTTGTAAATATAGAAATTAAATAAAAAATTTAAAATATTTGCAATATTTATAATATTTTAATTATAATTTTATTACCACTATGATCTTCGTTTTACTATCATTTGATGAATTAAATAAAGTATAGTATAGTTAACAGCTTTTCAAAATTTGAATCAGGTTCACTAATTGACTTTAGACAAAAATTGCAGCAATTTTTATCATCGGTTTTTGAAAAATAGTTCCAAACAATTGATTGTGGCTTTTATTCACTTTTATGGACCATCATTATAGACTGAAAAATAATGGTTTTTGATGCTTTTGCACAGAAAAAATTATTTATAATTCATTATTACAAATATTAAAGTTGTGTTCAAAACAATGAATCAAACATTACTTGTATTGATATATAAAGTTAAGTTTTTCAGTGACTAACGCATCAAGAACGCATTTTTCAGTCTATAACCATCATACAGTATAACAGTTTACAAATGTGATCTAGCTCATTCCGTTCGTGAGATATAACGAAAGCTAAGGCGACAATATATAATGACCGACTAGATATTGAATTGAATTTATTGATATTTAGAGACCTCACTCACAAGTCAGCATAACTGATTTTCAGTGAATTCAGATTTTCTTTATATTAAACAAATTCCTGAAAATGTTTTTTTTGTGATAAATATTGTTGATTAGAATATGAGTTAAAATGAATAGAATTAATGAATTTTACAAATAACTTGAAGTGTGATAATATTTTTGTTTATGGTGCAAACTATTTGATTGTATTAAGTAGAAATTAATTAAATTCAATATTAAACTGAATGTTTAGTTAATGAATTGCAAAATGTATTGAATATTCGTAGAGTAGAGATGTAATCCATACGTCGGCGTCGAAGACATTGCGCCACTTCTGCCGGTGGCAACACATGCACAATGAGGCCAATGATAGTCATCGCTATCATTACGACACCGCTATTTTGCTAACTCGAGAAGACTTGTGCCGAATGCCCAATACATGCGATACTTTAGGTTTAGCCCAATCCGGACAGATATGTGACGCCACTGCCAGTTGTGCGGTCATAGAAGACAACGGTCTGAGCGCTGCCTTCACTATTGCTCATGAATTAGGACACGTGTGAGTCTTCGCTCAACAATTTCATAATTTCATTAAAATTGTTGTGAAAAATAGCTAAAAATGGATGAGAATTGAAATGATATGTTAAAATCTGTTTAAAGCTTAAGTATTCCTCACGACGACGACGACAAGTGTTTTAAATATCATCGACAAGACCAGGAAAATGAAGATGAAAGAAGCAAACATATTATGGCGCGTATGCTTGACTATACGAGCCATCCCTGGTCCTGGTCTTCATGTTCACGACATTTTATCACTCAATTCTTTGAGTAAGTTTTTGTGACAATCGATTGAATACATGAATGTAATGACTACTAAAATGTGATACACTTAGTGATGGGAATGGAGATTGTTTGCTGGACAAGCCTTCGGAAAACCTGCTCAATGACATACTATGGCGCGCCAGTAGTGACCACTTCTCCATAATGGAGTTGAGACAACCGGGAGAGTTGTTTGATATGGATCTTCAGTGTCAGCTGGTGTTTGGTCCCACTTCACGGATATGTCCGTATATGCCTGTCTGTAGACGACTTTGGTGTACAATCAGCAGTGAAGGAGGGGGTTGTCGGACACAACACATGCCATGGGCTGACGGCACCACATGTGGTCAAAGCAAATGGTGTCAACGCGGAGAGTGTGTTTCCATTGATAAACTGGATTCGCATCCAATCGATGGTCAATGGGGGGAATGGAAACACTTCGAGGAATGCTCTCGAAGTTGTGGCGGAGGAATACAACAATCACTTAGAGAGTGCGATACCCCCAGGTATGAGGTGTGACAAACCCTTTCCAACTTTTATCATATGAACTACACTTTTCTTATACAGTATACACTCGATTGCAAATCTATCTTTACTGATTGAAAATTATTCTAGCCAAGATGGTTAATTTAATCAGATATATGACTTACCCATTTATTGTCTATATAATGACCATGATAAAAAATTAGTATGATTTTTAAACTAATTGTAGTAATGTATTGTACCAATTATTTAAAAAATACATTTTATGCCGTTATGAATGGTTTTGGATGCGCTAAATGGGCTAAAGTGATATATCTGATTAAATTAACCATCTTGGCTAGAATAATTTTCAATCAGTAAAGATAGATTTGCAATCGAGTGTAATATTATATTACCGGTATATAAAAACAACTTTATAAATGGAAAGTTGTTTTTATTTTCATAACCGATATAAGTTACACTGCATTACAAATATCCATTATAACATTTTTATTAAATCAGTATATAGTAATGCTTTACAATAAAATATACTTGTCAAGTATGTACTTGATGAACTTAAAAGTGAATTCATTATTATTGAATATTATATATTTAATGTTATCCATTTCCCATTATTGAAAAATATATTCCCGGAAAATAGTTTTAGGCCGGAAAATACTTTATATTCCTTAAAACTGGGAAAATACGACAACAATGTGGTCAAACGATGACCAATCTATGAATATAAATACTTTTATCATATTAATTATATGTACCCTAACATGCTTAAACATAATAGAGAAGAAGATTCGGTTAAATCTATTTAATTGATTTAATTTCAATCATTTTGTAAATTATTTTTTAATCAAAATTTAAAAATTGCGCTCAAATATTGACGTAATGCTATATGAGTGACAGGCAATTCTTTGTTATTCATCAAAACATGGTAAAAGTAATTGACTACTGTGTTAAATAAAATTATTTTTATACTTTTAAAACAATTTATCCATAATTAATACTTAAAATAATCAAAATTATTTGAAATATTTCTCGCTGTTATCCTTTTCCATGAAGCACTTTTTATTACCCGGAGTTTCCCTATAAATTCCGTCCCGACATTATGATAATTTTAGGAGTTTTTAAATAATGGATAACATTGAATATATTATATAATTTTTAATCTAGAAGACTTTTCTTAATAATTGAAAATAATGTTAAACTCATTTATGACATTAAACTTAAGCATTGATAAATGTATTTCAACGCATTGAAAAACATTCATTTTTGTGATTTTTATATCAAATGCTATCAAATACTATGAATGAGTTTTAACATTATTTTCAATTATTAAGAATAGTCTTCTTGATTAAAATTCATATATAATTATTATTATAATAATATTATAAATAATTCAACCTCAATCCCAATGTGTAAATATTATGGTGTTTAATAGAAAAACGAATTTTCTAAAGTGACAAAAGCCAGTCAAAAAGCCACACAACGTTATTTCATAAAATTTTTTTAATAATGTTAAAATTGTAATAAATAAATTTAAAAATTATTGATTTTATGAAAATTCTATAATGCATTCTAATGTTTAAAAATACTAATAATAATTATTAATATTGCAATTGCAATCAATTTATAATATTGCAATCTTTATTATTAATCAATATTATACCATTATGTATTTTGATGTTGTACATGTTAATGTTTCTTATTCTTTAAAAATAGTAAACATTTATTTATTTAATAATTTAATTTAATTGATAACAATTGGTATGAAAATTCTTATTAAAATTATTTTTATTAAAAATATGCAAAAGAATGAAACATTTTAACAAATATTTATAATGATTTGTTCATTTAATTTAAAAGTTTCAAACATGGTAAACTGAAATGCTCACAATGTACACTGTACATTGTACAGTACAGTGCAGTGCATACAGTGCAACACCTTTATAAGAATCCCCAAATATATTAATATAAGATTGGAAATACACTTTATTTTAATAGTAAAGTATAATATTTAAAATAGAAATTTAGAAATAATACTAATAATAAGTAAAATTATATTGATTAGTGTGGATATGCTATATTTAAGCTGTAATTTGATACAAAACTTATATCGATAAGAATAGGCCTACATTTGGTGGTAAATACTGTTTGGGAATTCGAGTTCGCTATCGTTCGTGTAATACAGAGGAATGCGATCACAATTTAGTCGATTTTCGTGAAGAACAGTGTTTGGCGTTTAACGGACAGACATTTAATATAAACGGTTTGGTGGCTAATGTCAAGTGGACGCCACACTATACCACTAGTGAGTATTCAAGCATTTACTATCAATTCATATGATTGATGACATTCTCAACAATTAGTGTCATAACTATAATTATATTTGATATAAAGTTAGAACAGATTATTGCAAACTGTACTGCAATGTTGACGGAACCGGAGCTTATTATTTACTCAAACCCAAAGTCATTGATGGCACCCAATGTGCACCCGATTCTTATGATGTCTGTGTAAATGGAAAATGTATGGTATGTTTCTATCTCTTATATTCTCAATCATAGTGAGTGGTAAAGTTTAGTTATAATATACTGTAAAGTACTTTACATACGCAAAATTTCTTCATTTTTATAAAAGTGGTGCTACCATAATGTTATATACCTAATTATTTGGCTTACAACAATAAACGGGAGTCAATAAATTGTTTGTCAATAACTTATTGTCAATAAGTTGTAAGTTTTACAATGTAAGAGAACACTCGACCGATTTTGATGAAATAACTTTATTTTGACGATTAGTAATAGACAATTTCTTCAAGGGTCATTTATATCAATTATTTATAAAATGGCTGCCATTAATATACACAAAGTTAAGAATTCTGCAGTCATTTATGTCTTTTTACAAAGTCGTTTTAAAAGTTATCATGGTAAAAAATTGAAAATATGGAATCTCGGGACTAATAAATCTATATTTTTTTTTGTTGACAATAAACTTGTGTAAACAGTAAACTTATCAAGCAAAATCTACATGGTAAAAAATGTCCCGACTTCGATCATTTAATTAAGTCTACTCTTTGAATGAACAAGAATTGCAGTGCAATCATTGCACATTCAAAAGAACATCTTAATATCTTTGAAATTACAATAAACATGAACTATAAAGCATTTCTAGACACTAAATACATTTCCTTCATTTGTAAGGCATAAATCTATTATTAAACAATCACTTCAAAAAGTTACTGATTTATAGAACATTTCAGTAAATTTAATAGAAATTAATAATTTATTGGAAATTAAAAAAGAGGGCATTGAATTGTCTTCTATGAACTCTTCAGAAGACTGTAGACAAAAAGTTCGAATAGTGGACAATCCGCTGTAATAGACAGGTGGTCACCCTACTCAAACTTTATTTGAAGCAATCTTATCAAGTTAATATTAAATGATTCAAGTTAAGCTTGGAATGTGTTGCTTATAGCTTTAGATCCTAAAACTCCCCCGAGAACACTTTTAGGCCCTAGCCCTCACTTTAATTAGTTGTGCCTTTTATATTATATTCGTCATTTATAAATTATAAATTATAAATTATAATGTACTTTAATACACATATGAATATTAAAGTGAGGGCTAGGGCCTAAAAGTGTTCTCGGGGGAGTTTTAGGATCTAAACTTATAGCCTATAGGTTATAATAGTTATAGTACTGTATAAGTTATACAGTATAACTTATAAGTATAACGTATAACCGATTGTTTATATTGAATGAATTGTATAAATGATGAGTAATTGATTGAATTGATGATAGACTGCCGGATGCGATCATATTTTGGGAAGTGATGTTCAACCAGACAATTGTGGAGTATGTGGTGGCGATAACACAACGTGTCAACTCATGTCCGGGCAATTAAATCGTGTCAGATATGGCTATAATTTAGTAGTGGTTTTGCCGATCGGAGCGACAAATATTCTTATTGAACAATCGGGTACTTCAAGTACTGACGACAACTATTTAGCCCTTAGAGCTCATGATTTGACTTATTTACTAAACGGGTCCGTATATTGCAAATACATATTAACTACTGACTCGCGTGTATGTAATATATAATAAGTGATTACTCTTAGGGAGTTTGTGGTTAGTATGTTTCACAAGGCTATTCGGTACGGAGGCATCACAATTGAATACAGCGGATCGAATCAAGCCATTGAACGCATCAATACAAGTAAACCACTGACTCGACCCTTATATGTCGAGGTGAGTATTCCACTACCATGGACCATGGTAATCATGGTAATCATGGCAACCATACCCTGTATTTGCATCCTATGTTATTCATGTGAGGAAGAGATCCCAATTAAACAATTATAACACCATTTTTGAGGCACAATTGAGATTTAAAATATGCATCATGTTTACAGTCAAACCAATAACTCTCAATAAAATACCAATTAAGGGGTCAAATGCTGTTAGAAAGTTATTTTAAGTGATAACCTCTCAAGAGGTGATATAAGTGTAATGTTATCCATTACTTAAAAACTCCTAAAATTACTGGATTACCCATGTTGCCGAGATGCAATTTATAGGGAAACTCCGAAAAATAAAAAATGCATCAGGGAAATGGATAACATGAAGAAATATTTTTAATAGAAATATATTATTGCTATATGGATAAATTGTTTTAAAAGTATAAAAAATTTTAAAAAGAAACTTATTTAACACAGCAGTCAATTACTTTTATAATGTTTTTGATGAGTAACAAGAATTGCACTCATTTAGCATTACGTCATCATTTGAGCGCAATTATTAAATTTTGATTACAAAATAATTTACAAAATGATCGAACAAATTTTTGTATAATCTTATAAATCATTTATAAATAGTGTTTACAATACACTCGTTTGAAAGACTTTGTGGCATTATTTATTAAAGTTGCATTATTTGACACATTAATGTTTTCAGGTATTAAGTGTTGGTAACTTATCATCTCCTGAAGTGATCTTCCAGTACTCTATATCTGTTGAACGCAATGAATACATATGGCGTACAGAAGACAAATCAAGTGAATCGTCAACTGTTTTACAAACAATTACATCAATAGATGCTAAATATGTGAAATCCATCACAAATGCCATCACATGGAGTGATGTACAAAGTGTGGCCACAACTACCTATTTGTTGAAAGAGTCTCAAACATCACTTACAAGTCTAACCATTTCGTCGTTCATAAGCACTCCATTCTATGCGATCACAACTTTATCAACACTTTCAGAACCAAGTGTTTTCCCAGAAGTGATGAGTACTGAGAGCTCAATGATATCAGCGACGAGTGAAAGAAACGAAGTAATGAATGTCGCGGTCAATGTGGCTAAAGTGGTATCTGAGGTGAAGTGGACTTTCTCTCAATGGTCTCACTGTTCGGTTTCGTGTGGAAATGGAACTCAAACAAGAGGTCCGTTGTGTTCCTCAAAGTGGGATCAAAATCGCGTGTTTGAGTGCAGCTCTCAATCCAAACCCTCGCCACAAATTCGTCATTGTTATCGTATTTGTAGTTTATTTCAATGGAAATCATTTGTGTGGTCGCAATGCAGCACTACATGTGGGAAGGGATTCAAGTCACGTCTTATACAATGTCTCGATTGGACCCATACTGTAGTTCCCAATCAGTTCTGTGATCCCTCGACCAGACCTAAGAATATCAGACGCTGTAAACAGAATACCTGTCCTTTCGTTTGGCAAACCAACCATTGGTCTCAGGTTTGTGTCTAATTCACTGACATATATGACAACATTTTTATATCAAATCAAAGTTTTTATTATTAATAATACTAAATTACAGACCCGTCCTTATTAGTGCTTACTTACCGTTTTACCCCGCATATACAGTTTTTATAAATTTACTAGCAAAAAAGTTACTAAAGGTGAGAACGTCTCAAAAGGTGCTAAATATGTGAAATCAAATGCTCTCAAAATACTCATAAAGAGGTACAGTATATGGTGTGCCCCAAAACTTTCAGAAGGTTCTCCGCTTTCGGGATAAAATAGTTATTTACCTTCGAATCAATGCTTTTATACATTACATAAATTTAACCTAAACTTACAGTAATTTTTAAAAAGTCTTAAATGCCATTTTCGCTAGTGTTAGAGTTAAATTGTTGAATTAAATTACAGTTTTAATCAACAATTAAAACCCGCGCGCGCTTATAATTTTTAGTTATTTTTATGAATATTAAAAAAGTAAATTAAATTAATATTTATGTTGGTTTTAATAAATGTTGGCTTTTATAGTAAAAGAAAATAAATTATGTTTTATTCCTAAAATTTTGCGCCTAACCTAATCATTAACATAATCTTACCTAACCAAACATAACATATTATAATATAAATTATGTTATGTTTGATTAGGTTAAGTTAACTTAAAAAATTTTCGGTTAAATTCTAAACTCGAATATTTTAATAAATATTCTATATAAAAAAAATTTATTTCGATATTCGTAATCAGCGTTTAATTATACATAAGGAAAGCACACCATATTTATACTTTTTGATTATAATATAATGTTCCTTGTGCTATAAAAGTAGAAGCCAACCAAATGTTGAGCATATTGTTTTATACATACGTATAAAAATGGTTTGTTTTATTTAATATTTAATAATAGCAAAATATAAAATTAATTTCAATATATTATTATATTATAAATTAATATTATAAAAATTATCAAGTGCATAAATACGATTATTTCATATTTTTATAAACATTTATAAGTTATTAAATTTTAAAACTAATCAAAATCCAATTAATAGTTACAAATAATTCAAACTTAAATGAAAGCTGAAATGAAAATTTCATTGAAATTTTCATTTTTCATTTTGAATTTTGCAATTTTGTGGTTTATATAAAAGATCTTTGACTTGAAAAAAGTGTTCAAAAAGTTGTGGTCAAGGAATACAAGTGCGAAGAGTGAGCTGTCATCGTGTGAATCGCGAGGGATGGGTCGACAGTCAGCCCACAAAACGACGTAAACTAACCAAACAATTGATGACCGGTTGGTGTAATGAGACAATCAAACCAATCACTAAAAGAAATTGTAATTTTGGTGAATGCAGTCGAGGAGCGGTTTGGAAACCAAGTATTTGGCAATCGGTTTGTTCTTTATTCAAAGTATGCACATTATTACCATAGAGTAAATATTATCATTACAATGATTACAGTGTTCCACACCTTGTGGTTCAGGCAAACAAAGAAGACAAATATATTGCATTAATTTGAACGGCAAAAAAATGGCCAAAAGTTTTTGCGAACAAAAATTAAGACCTCAAAAGCGACGTAAATGTAACCAAAGACCATGTGTGTACTTCTTATTAGTTATTATCTTATCATTAGTAACTTATAAACTTTTACTTCACTAACTTTTAAAAACCAACAACTTCAAAAATGATAGTAGTTTAAATTATTAAATACATTTTTCCCGATACTTATGTAAGTTGTGGTTATTTAGAATTTATTACGTTAAATATCAAATTTCTTTTATCTTTTAAATATTATATGTTTTATTATGATCTTTTTAAATTAAATCTGCTAAATAGTTTTTAAATGGTTACAAATGGACTTTGTTTCTTAATAGCTTGCCCCACATTACGTGGATTAACCATTATTCGGGTCAAGCAAAACCGAAATTAATGTAATATGATTTTGAAATAGTTTGTAAAGATGAATATCTTAGATGAAATACTTAAAATTAATATTGCTCTAGCATTGTCCATAGGAAAACATTAGCTCATTGTTCAATATAATTGTAAACTTAAACTGGGATCCAATAAACAGAAAGTAAAACGTGGTTTAAAAGGTTGGAGAAAAATAATAATCACGTTATGTTGAGAGTCTGAAAAGTCCTCAGATTCATTGACAATCTTATGTCCAACATTATAAATGGTTTTCTTTGAAGTTTACAAATCATTTTTAGCTCTCTCTCTCTCTCTCTCTCTCTCTCTCTCTCTCCTTTCTTTCTTTCTATTTATCTTTCTATTTATCTTTCTATTTATCTTTCTGTTTATCTAGGTTTGTAATTAAATTAGTAATTTAAAATTAATGTATGTTATTGTAATAATATTTGTGGTGTTCAGGCGCTGCGATTAGTTGTGACGATATTAACAAACGTGGAAATGTTAAAAGTGATGGAGAATATGAAATATATATTAGAGGAATGATGATTAAAATATATTGTTATGGTATGGAAACTGGCAAACCATTAGAATATCTAACACTAACTGCAGGTTATTTGGAGAATTACAGCGAAATTTATAATAAAAGGTAAGATTCTAATGTCATAAATATCTATTAATAAATATTTAATCAATTGATTAGATTGTTATTAGCTAGTTATTAACTAATTATTAATAAGTAATTACTAATTGAAAATTATAATTATAATAACATATAAAATATTAGGCCGAATAAAGTAGACGTGTGTCCTTATAAAGGAGATAAGTGTGAAAGTTGTAGCGCCAGTGATGCCCGTATTGGAGGCGGATTAACACAATTTAAGAGAATCCGTATAAATATAACATCACTTCTAGTATTTGGTATGTTTGATGTTTTGAGGCTAAATAGGTTGTGAATCACAACTTGTGATGTGTTGTTATGATTGCAGGCAATGACTACCGCTTTGCAGAGAGCCAATCAGGCGGCTGGCAGATCGCTTTCGGCGAGGCTGGCGACTGCTATTCTGTGATGCATTGCCCTCAGGGACAGTTCAAAATCAATTTGAAGGGCACGGGTCTCAGTGTTTCACCCAAAACTAAATGGTCAGTCCAGGGAAGTAAAGCAACCAAACATATTGACCGAATCGATGTAAGTTGTAATCATGTTGCAATCTAATATACAGTATACATGTATATGATGCATGTATTGGTGTGATTGTGCATAGGGTGGACAGGTTGTGACGGGTCGTTGTGGTGGTTATTGCGGTCGTTGTACGCCATCCAATGGCTTATATCTTGATCTCTACGAATATTTATAATTAAATATAATTGTATAATATTTATGTATTTATAATATATAGTATGTACAGTACAACATATAATTTTGCAAGTACAATATATTTAAATATTAAAAAATCTAAACAATTTATTACTGAAAAGTACAAGAAGTAAATTGATTTTAAAATGACGATATCAATAATTTATTGCATTCCAAAAAACAATGCTTTTATCTTGTTTACTTATTAACAATTTTTAACCACAATTCATTTATAAAAACTATGGTGTATAGAGCTAGGCCTATCGGCTGCCCAAACCCCGCCCCGTTCTATAAGATTTAACAGTAAGAATTATAGATTAAGTATATGACATAGGTTTAACATATGGCAATTCTATGGGTAATGTTATGTCTATGACAAAGCTAATCCTTCGGGATTTGACTAAACAAATTTGACAATTTGAATACTGTATAACTAAATATTATTAAAAATATTTAAAATTCTGAAAATACAATATTGAAAGCATCCAAACAATAGGGTTAAAAAAGTTGAAATGTTTGATGCATTTGCCGAATTGTGGTTAACGCATGGCTACGCGGTGTGATTCTTGTTTTAATTTTCGACTTATTATCAAATATATCGCGTAAAATATTTTGGAAGGAAAGATATTTTATCTTCCTGAAAACAGGATAAAATAAATAGAATGTGGTTAAACGATGACCAGTTGATATACACATTTGCAATATATTTGTTCATGGTCGGCCATCTAGTAATGAGGTCCCGAAGACTGTATGTCGATTACATAATTAATTTAGGTTCTATAGTCCTTCATACATGTGCCATAGTTATGCTCGGAGCCGTATATTGGACACGGTTTACAGTAGAATAGAATAGAATATTATAGAATACTGTATATCAAATCAATGTAGAATTTAACGCTGAAATCGAAACTGACACCCAAAATCTTTTATTTAGAATATTTGTCGATTTAATCAACTTAGGTCGAATTCTGTTCTAAAAATGTCTCAATAAAAGTGGTGACTGCGGCCAAACCCGATGTCGTCTGGCCATATCAAGTATACCACACGACTCGTTAGAGAGTGTACTTTCATTGTAAATTTTTTATAATCAAAATTGCCGGCACAGCCAACACTGACAACTTAGCAGTGATTACATTACGGCGCTCAAAAGCCCACAATATTAACATACGTCAATTTTAAAAGTACACCAAGATAGTTTAATATAACTTTATGTATACAGTATCTAAACACTTGATTATTATCTGGTTTTAATTTGCTAAAGTCGGACTTAAAATATATTGACCAAACTTGAAATACTATAATTGCTAGTATTATACAAAGTATTAAATAAATGTAATAGTACCTGTATAGGAGTATAGGTTTGTGTGATTTCTAATCGATCCCTTAAGTAAGGCTATGATATGGTGTATGTATTGAATGCATTGAATGTATTGTCTATGATATGAGTGTTTATTTGCATTTCACTCACTATTACTCGATTACTGGTAATTGAATTGATTTGCTATTTGTCTGTCAATCCTATTGTGGATCACAATTAAGTGTCCAGTGATGGCAGCGCTTCCCCGAAGAATCATTAAAGTAAGTGAATTGCTTTGGATATGACTGTTGTTGGCATTGATGTGTGATTCGTGTGATGATAGGAGACGCAGAGACTGATGGCAGAACCAGTTCCCGGCATATCTGCCATTCCCGACGAGAGCAATGCCCGCTATTTCCATGTGGTAGTGGCCGGACCTGAGGAGGTGAGACCTACTGAGACCTACTGGTGATGTGTTGTCTGATTGTGTTGTCACTGAATTGTAGTCGCCATTTGAAGGCGGAGTTTTCAAACTGGAGTTGTTTTTGCCCGAAGAGTACCCGATGTCAGCGCCCAAAGTGCGGTTCATGACTAAGATATATCACCCAAACATCGATAAATTGGGCAGAATTTGTTTGGATATTCTTAAGGGTAACACAACTGTACAATCAATCACTCACTCTAACACTGAATCCATATCCAGATAAATGGAGTCCAGCTCTTCAGATACGGACTGTATTGCTATCAATTCAAGCCCTGTTGTCGGCTCCCAATCCGGACGACCCGCTGGCCAATGATGTGGCCGAACAGTGGAAGGTTAATGAGGTGGAGGCTATCAGAACTGGTGAGTAGTCTAAACTATACTATTGTGACCATACTTTGGTGACCATAGCATAGCATACTATACCATACACTACAATGGATTGCATTGTTTGACAGCTCGCGAGTGGACACGACTTTATGCAATGAACAGTTACGGTCAATGAGGACAAGCATTGATTAATCCTCATGTTTTGTACATAAAGACTATAATTAATAGAATTAAACTTATTGTCCGATAATTAATCAATTGTCACAACAAATAGACGAAAGTTGGCCTCTATTTCGTGGAATAATAAAATCAAAGTGATATCACTTTACTATTTGTCAACATTTCTATAACTTTCAAATTATTGTCTTTATTTTCAATTGTAACCTAACTTTAAGACCAATTTTTCAACCATTTTATCTTCAATTACTTTCAATTCATTAATACCTTATTGTTTATTAAATTGATTTTGAAGCCAAAAATAAAAATCTATTCAATTGGCACAAAAGTTACTCATGTTTACAACTTGTAATCATTTCTATATGAATCCAACACTCAATACAATCGATTTGATTGTCAAACATTGATTGTAGTGAAGGTGTCAATTGTAACAACACTTTTACTGTTAACTACCATTGGCACTATCATGGTGAATTGAGATTGCATGTTCACATATACATTTATTATATTATGTTAGTGTAAAATTAATATGAATAAAGTAGATTGGTGTTCTAATAGGTATTATAATATATGCGGTGAATAGTGTACACTGTACAGTGTCTGTACAGTATTATTCAAACATTGACATAATGTAAACATTATTTGTGTTTGCATTGAGTGTTGAGTTGTGTTACAGAATCTGTAAATACTGTCATATATTGTTAACTGTTATTACAGTTGGAGTCTAAGTGGACACGAGTTGACACGAGTGGACACAAGTGGTGATTGTTAGTGAAATGAGCTCTCAATTCATGTATCCGGTCGTCCAAAGAGATGACAATCAATGCCAACTCATTGATGGCATTGAGGTTTGTATAGAGTCTATACTATAGACCATTGGCATTGTCTGTGTTGTCTGCCATTGTCTGATGTATTGTCTGATTAGATCCGAGACCCATATCGATGGCTGGAAGACGTGGACAGTGCGGAGACGAAGGCATTCATTGAGAGTCAAAACGCGGTTACAATGCCTTACGTCGAGTCGTGTCTATATAGGGATCAAATCAAAGACAGGTTTGTGGACCAAATGGTGGTGATTGTTGACAGTTTGTGAACCTAATAATAAATGTCATTTAATGATTGGTAAAGACTGACCAAACTCTGGGATTATTGTCGATACGGCTGTCCATTCAAACGCGGAGACAATTATTTCTATTACATGAATACTGGTCTTCAGAACCAATCGGTACTCTATGTGACGAAAACGCTGGACTCGAAGCCTTCGGTATTCTTAGACCCGAATGTGTTGAGCTCTGACGGAACCACTTCTTTGAGTGTGACCTCATTCTCAGAAGACGGCCAATGGTTTGCCTATGGATTGAGTGACTCTGGAGTCGATTGGGTTCGCATTCGGATTAGAAATGTGAGCACTGGTTCGGACTGCGCCGAAGAGTTGACTAAAATTAAGTTTACATCAATTGCTTGGACTCACGACAACTCGGGCTTCTTTTACGCGGTATTCATTTTCTGATTGGTTATGATTTAGTGGTTTATAGTTGTGGTTATGGTTGTAATTAGTTTGGTTTGTGTTGTATGTGTGGTATAGTGTTATCCGGATCATAACGGCAAGAGTGATGGCACCGAAACCACTGCTACAAGTCATCAAAAGCTGTTCTATCATAGGGTGAACACAGATCAAAGTGAAGACATTCTTGTGGTCCAATTCAAAGATGAGCCCAAATGGAGAATGTGAGCCAACATTGAGCCAATTGTGTTGATTATTGTGATTTTGATGACAATATTGATTGTATTACAAGTGGTGCGGTTGTCAGCGATTGCGGTCAATACCTTCACGTGTATGTGAGAGAAGAAGTGTCCAATTGTTTATGGTTTTATGTCTGTCTAAACGGTTTGGCAATCGATAGGGAATTACAGTTGACACCAATTATTGATGAGTTTAGCGCTGAATACGATTACGTGACAAATGATGAATCCATATGTTATGTGAGAACCAATAAAAATGCGCCCAACTTTAGACTCGTTAAGGTTGATCTGAACTCACCATCGATTGACAATTGGGTTGATCTGATTGGTGAGCATCCAAGAGATGTACTGGACTGGTGCTCAGTGGCCAACAACGATGCATTGATTGTCTGCTACATGAGAGACGTGGTGAATGTGATGGAAGTGAGACGTCTGTCAGACGGTTCAGTGGTGAAGAACCTAGACGTTCCCATCGGTTCCGTTACTGGTTTCTCAGCCAAACGCTCACAAAAGGAGATATTCTACTATTTCACCTCATTCTTGACTCCGGGAGTTATATATCATTATAACTTTGTTGATGAGCCAAAAGTGTTTATGGAAATTAAAGTGGAAGACTTTGATCCAACGGCTTATACGACAAAACAGATATTCTATTCGAGCAAAGATGGCACCAAAATTCCAATGTTTGTCGTCCATCGCAACGACATTGTCCTCAACGGCGACAATGTATGTCTCCTCTATGGTTACGGAGGTTTCAATATTCCGATTCAGCCATCGTTTAGCAACCAAAGGGTTCTTCTAATGAAAGATTTGAATGGAATCTTCGCTTTGGCGAACATTAGGGGAGGCGGAGAATACGGCAAGAAATGGCACGACTCGGGCAAACTGCTGCTCAAGCAAAATGTGTTCGACGACTTCGTGGCCGCCGCACAGCACCTCATCGACAACCGCTACACCCGAAACCAGAAGCTTATCATTCAGGGCGGATCCAATGGCGGACTTCTTGTCGGAGTGGTTGCCAATCAAAGACCTGATCTGTTTGGGTGTGTTCTGTGTCACGTCGGGTAAGACTGATTGGTCTATTGAATTGAATGGTCATTTGATTGCTATGTTTTGATAGAGTGATGGATATGTTGCGGTTCCATAAGTTCACAATAGGTATGGCCTGGTGTTCAGACTACGGCAATCCCGATGAATCCATTCACTTCCATAATGTACTCAAGTAAGTGATGCACATGTTGTTGGTTTGTTGGCTAATGGTATCGATTGGTTTCATAGGTTTTCACCACTACATAATATTCCTGACGCCCCGCAGTCATATCCGGCCACTCTATTGCTAACGGGTATTACAATTAAATAGTATTGTTGTAAATACTGTATATCTCAACAATTGATTGTATATGCAGGCGATCACGACGACAGAGTAGTACCTTTACATTCACTCAAATTCATCGCTCAATTGCAGTATAAATTGGGTGAAAGTAACGCAAACACACCGCTTATGATACGAGTGGACACCAAATCAGGTCACGGGGCCGGCAAACCGACCGCTAAAATGGTTTGACTCCATATTTCATAAATAATTACTGTATTTAATTGAATGCTATTTGTTATACAGATTGAAGAGATGACAGACATCTACTCTTTTATTATAAATGCATTGCAACTCAAATACATTGTCTAATAACATATTCATAGAGTAGACAACTATAGCAACAAATGATTTATTTTTAATAAATGGATAATAAAAGTAAATGAGTTATTGATAATTGATTTATTGACCACCACCACCATCATCATCTTCATCATCGCTGGGGTCGATTGGGGGCAAATCAGTGTTTCTGTTTTGATTCAAGTGATTCCATGTGTGGTCTTCGGTCATGAGGTGGTTCTGAGTGGCAATGATTTGTGTTGAGTCGAGACAAGTTGAGTACTCGTTGAGCGCGTGTTGGTTGAGAGTGAGGAAAGCTGATCCCCACTTGAATTTACTCAAGTAGTGCTCAGCCGTTGACGCAAAGCCTGTCATCATGAGAGTCGATGCGATCGCCTCAACACATGACAACTTAGAGGCGATGCCATAGTTGACAGGATTTGCGGCCATAAGGAAAGGCAGAAGTCTTAAGTGTTTGCCTTTCATCTTATGAAATGGGGTTTCATTGAGTCGATTCCAGGAGCAGTCGACCACTGCTATGCCATTACGCGAGACAATGTCCCGGTCTTGAGGTGACACACACTTGACAGCCATTGGACTCAATATAATGCCATTGAATTTGTGTCCTAACTTCAAGAGTGAGCACAATCCGAGCCGAACTAATTTCCTGCCGGTGCAGCGCTTCCGATCGCATTGTCGCAGATCCCACATAAACACTGCAATCTCTTCCACAACTTTCACATCGCCATCACTGCCATCGCCACTACCTGTGCCATCACTGCCATCACTGCCATCGCCCTGCCCTTCATAATTACTGTGCACAATATCACTAGTTTGTTGATCATGGTCATCATGCTCATTGTTCACATGGTGTTGCATATGTTTGGGCATAATTCAACGGTGAGCCCAACTGTGATCATATGACCACAATATAAGGTTACTGTTGTTATAGAGTTATAATTGAATACAATTAGCAAAATAGTAATCAATGTCCATAAGGTTGCAGAGATATGCAGAGATAGGTTGCAGTTTGCAAATATCATATGGCGTGCGAAATGATTGCACATTATTTATGTAATATAATATAACATATGTATGTATATCTAGATACTTGCCATTTATTGAGCCTATACTGTACTTATAGAGTACTGAAAGTAAAGTATGTACTGTATGTAATAAAGTGACCAATCGTCCCGGTTCTCCGAGAAAAAGCCTTGTTTGGCACATTTTGTCCCGGCTGGTTTTCACAAGTACCATAGAGGGTCCCGGGAAAATGGCATGTTACCCTAAATGTCCCTGTGCAAATGATGAAAGATCCTGCAGTGTTGCGGAATGTGTAATAATTGTTGATGAAATGTTGAGTTGGTCACTCTAGTTGTACAGTACAGTATACTATATATGTTACATGTATTGATAAATATTGGTCTGCATTTAAATGGCTGTAAATAGAGAGTAGTGTTGACTAGTGTTGACTGTATTGTGAGTCTCACACACTCTGACACACAGTTGTGTTGATTGAGTTAATGTCGTATTCATATCAATATTACTCAACACTTAGACAGTTATACACTCTTTGATCCACAACTACGACAACTACAACAACTGCTATCAATTGATCCACAGCTCATCCATTAGATGAACAACTCGTTTGAATCACACGTGAAAGTCAAGTGAAAGAATGACAATATTACCGAAGAAGAAGCAAAACAACAAGACGTCCAGTGAGGACACAGTGGACACGGAAAGTCTGAATTACGCGAATCCATTGAATCCATTCGGTCACAACTCAAGAGGACATTCACCCCAAACCACCTCTCGATGGACTCCAATCAATGGCTTGAATCAGAGGAATGAAGACAAGAGGAGTGCCAACGACTCGGACGGCACGTCATTAGACTCGGGACCAACTCATTCAAAGAGACGCCTTCGCAGAGACGATAACATACGCCACCACTTGAGGAAAGGCAAGGCTTTGGCCAACTCTGTGGCCGCCGTCGACGGTGTGGTGGATGGAGACGTGCAGACGGATGGCAAAGACAGATGCGGTGACAATAGCGCTATGAATGCCGTCACCAATGAGTCGGCAATGAGTGGCGAAACCGCTTCCGGTTATAATAGTGGAGACGAATACGAGAAGCCGTCGCAGATGTGGTCCAAAGAGGAATGGGATGAGAAGGAAAGGGTATTTGCGAAACGGCTTAAGAAGAAGGCGTTTGTCATCAAACAGATGGGCGAAGACGGCGCCTGTCTTTTTAGAGCTGTCGGTGAGTTTAGACATTGTGTGAAGAGATTAAGTATGATTACAAATAGTGCTAACAATGCTATCCATTGTATTGAAAAGCGGATCAAATATATGGTGACCAAGAAATGCACGAATCGGTTAGAAAGCTATGTATGGATTATATGGTGAGAATCACTATTACATTGTATTCACTATATATGGCTGTATTGAATGACTATTATGTTATACTAATGACATGTTAGGCCAAAAATGGCGATTACTTTTCGCAATACGTGACGGAAGACTTCACCGCATACATCGAGAGGAAGCGCTTGAACCACATTCACGGCAATCACATTGAAATGCAAGCCATGAGTGAAATATTCAATCGTCCGATAGAAGTGTATCACTACTCGTGTGAACCGATAAACATATTTCAGGGCAACGAATCGGCCACTGATAACGAACCGATTCGCTTGAGTTATCACAAGAATATTCACTACAACTCAATAGTCAACCCTCAAAAGGCAACCATTGGTCTGGGCTTAGGTTTGCCCGCATTTAAGCCGGGATTCGCTGAGAAGAGTTTGATGGAGAAAGCGCTGCATATATCAGAGCAGCAACAACTGGAACAGGCGATGCTCGAAGACAAGATCCGCGCCACCGATTGGGAGGCAACTAATGAAGCCATTGAGGAACAGATTGCCCGCGAGTCGTACGTCGAATGGCTGAAGGAGAATGAAATGCGCTCTCACAAGATGAAGAAGTCAGCCTCTGCCACATCCACCGCCACTGGAACCACCGGAACCACTGTATCCACTGGTGGTACCACTGGTGGTGTTGAGGGCTCCAAGAGTCCCAATTGTCAGTCGAGCCCTCGTTCCAGTCCTAAGGCGTCTGGCAGTGGAACCAATGAAAGGGATGTCCACCACATTCCTAACCGGGAGTTTGGTCTGAAGGAAACGGCATCTTTCATGCATGAGTTGCCGCCACAAGTGTTTGGTAAGTGATATGTTTTGTTAGTTTGACTTTCATTAAGTGATTTTCATCTCAATTATCAATTTTAGGACTCAAAGACTGGACAGAGGATGACATCATAGCCAAAGTGTTGGCTCAATCGCAGGAGGAGTACATCGAGTCTTTGAAACGAGACTCAAAAGCTGCCCAAACAAACACCGGATGCAAAACACCCCCTCCTTCCTCATCCACTTCATCCAACTCTTAGAAATGAATTTAGATGTCAAACATGGATATAATTGTTATAATATTAATATTATTATTCATTTATCGATTATTCAATTGCTGTAAATTTGTTGCAAATATAATAATAATTATCATTAAATTCCACAAAATATCATTTTAAATAATGTTTCACTATTGACTGGATTAGACACAGTATATAAGCTTAATTCAAAATGTATCACTAATTAAGGTCTTTAAACATCAAAACCTTAATTAAATGATTTGGTTGTGTATAAAGAGAAGGTAATAGGGGTGGCGGGGGTCGAGGGGGTGGAGGGGTTAGTGGATTGCGGGTAGTTGTGAATGTTGTAGGTGTTGTAGATGGCATCGGCAATGGCTGCTGTGAAGGCAATGGTTGACGAGTGTTGTCATCAAATTCAACAAATCCAACACTATGGTAGAAATGGACGAGTGATGGCTCATGAGTTGTCAAATAAATGCGTGTAAACGCCATACGTTTGCAAAGCACTTCAATCTCCCTCATTATCAATGTACCCAAACCTTGTCCTCTAAAACTTTTGGCGACCACTAGTGACTCAATAGTGGCTGAAGAGGAACTCAAACAATGATATGGAGTGATGTTTGCATCACGTTTGAGCCTCACGTGACCGACCACTTGGTTATTAGAATCAATGAGTACGAGAGATAAGGGAAACCGATCGCAAGACTTGGCCAGTGTATGGAGTCGTGCCGTCAAACTAGTGATCACAAGTGAAAAGAGGATTGACTCAAATAGAAACACCAAATCAAAGAAATAAACCTTCGATTCCACTGTTGATTAAGAAGTAGAGCGCAGTCTTCAATCAGATGACTGTTATCATGAAGTTTGACTAATTTGTACGAATCACTCAATTCATTACGTATTGCATCTACAAATCAAATCAAGCAATCATTGTATAGAAATTCAGTGCATTTTAATTAGTAGTCAAATAATAAAATAATTTGTCAATAAAATAAGATCTGATAAAAAGTATAAAAGCAAAACACATTTGTGTTGTCATAAAAAAACAAAGTAGTCAATGAATAAATTGAATCAATTGATAGTTCATTGGTTTGATTTGGGTTTTCTGGTGAAGAATTTTTGTATTGCTTGAAGACATTCATCTGAAACCCATCGGTGTTTAATGGTATCGCACTCTTCTTTGTTCACTTCATGTAATCTCATGCGAAACGATTCGTTTTTCACCAATTGTTTCGAGAATTGCATTGATTTGGGATAACACGTGTTGACCAAACCGTTGGCACCAAATATCCAGTCTTCGACGTGAGTCTTAAATTGAGCCGAAGGTATAACTCGGGAAATGAGTCCGCAATTGAGGGCTTCTTCGGCTTTCATCTTGTAATTAAAATAAAGCATTTCTGACGCTCGAGAATAACCCATAATAAAAGGAAAGGTAAGCGTAGCGCACGCTTCGGGTGACTGTCCGAGTGATGAGAAGGGCGTCTGGAAGTGAGAGGTGTCGCTCGCGACCACGCAGTCCATGAGGCCTAATGTAGTGACAGCTATGCCAATGGCCGGACCGTTGACGGCGCCAATCAGTGGCTTTTGAAAGTCAATAAAAGCCGCGACAAACTTCTGCAATATCTTAGCCGACTGTTCGGCGCCGGCATTCATGTCTCCTTTGAACTCTTTGAATGCCTTTTCAAAGTTACCTTCAATTGGAAAATACAAATTGAGTTAAAATATGAAACAATGGATACAACGAATGGGAAACCAACTCAAGTCGTTGCCACTGGAAAAGTAGTCGCCATTAGCCGTAATGAGCGCTAACTTAATGGACTCGTCGGCCGACGCAGTGTTAAGAGCATTGATCCACTTGTCGTACATCACATCTGTTATGGCATTGTATTTGTTCGGTCTGTTGAGTGTTATCACACAAACACCACTCCTGTTCTCTACCAACAGATCTGTGTTAGAGTCCGACAAATCAGATCCAGAGATATCCGACGCTCCAGAAGACGGTTGAGATGAAGAATCGGTCGACTGTTGATCCAATTGGTCCACAGTCTGGACGTATTGAGTCATGGCGTCAGTGGAAGAAAGAGATCCCAATTGAGACCACGCCTGCCATTTGGCCGACTCTACAAACTTAATGGCCGACGGCTTCGGAGTATTGCATTCACCGACAGTCGACTGTTTGAACAGAGCATACAATTTGAGCTTAACATCATTGGACGGCTCGCTCTTCAACTTCTGGACCCTCTCCTGAGCTGAAGAGAAGGACGACTTGATGTCACCCGAAGACGAAGACATGGCGTAGTGCTGACCAAAGACGGCCCGAAACGGCCGCCGATATATCACTTGTGAGGCGCGGAGTAAACCAAACATCATCTCTAGTTTACCACTAATTATGTCAATAGTTATATCAATTCAATACTATTTGTCTTAAAAGTGTCTTTTGATGGCAACACAAATGCGAATCACTAATAATGTCCACTAATAATGATTATTGCATTCACAATACATTCAATACATACCCATTTATACCATGTATACTATCAATAAGTGTAATCATAACAAGTGATAACAAATACACAAATGTTTACAACAAATGTAAGAAATGCACGCTTCAATCCTTCCTTCAATGCATTGCTGTGGCCAAACATTGGCACACATTGGCACACATCGGCACACATCGGCACACATCGGCACGGTTAGGTTAGGTTAGGTTAGGTTAGGTTAGGTTAGGTTAGGTTAGGTTAGGTTAGGTTAGGTTAGGTTAGGTTAGGTTTTTTTTTCCTTTGCATAAATTATTTATTCAAATTACCGAAATTTAATACAATGTTAATTTTGCGTCATATGACGCGTAGATAATAATAAAATAAAATCATAATTAAATGGTTAGTGTGTCGAATGACGCATACAAAATAAACAAATGAATGATAATAAAGATACAATTGCATTAAATATAAAAAGACAATATAAAAGTGAAAGATTTATGCGTCAATTGACGCAGATATACATAATAAAATAAGTTAAATATAATTGATAAACAAAAGTAATACAATATTTGACAGTAATATGAATATAATAATTGTGTTGAATTGTGACGCAAGCGAATGGATACTCGCGTCAGCACTGAATTTCAAGTTTATTGAGTGTTGAAGTGTTTTAGTGATGAAATTATTTCCTTAACATATACGTTAAGTAGTTGTATAGCTGGTGCGTCGAGTGACGCAAAATTTGTTAAGTTGTATTGTGTATATTGTGATATCTGCGTCGAGAATATATGTCTTTGATGAGCATATCTCGAGCAATCATTTAATAAATGTTCAATTGTTTGGTTTGTGCGTCTATCACATGGACAGAACGCGTCGGTTGTTATTTTGAAGCGATTGAGATTAACTTTATTAAAGCCATGGCCGGTTAAGACTTGCGTCATTTCAAATGAGACGCCGGATAAAGCAATAAACTGTTTGACGTCGAGAAGTGATGGTAACCACATTCGCGTCACTGATCCTTGGGTCGCGTTTTGATATTCAGCGGCCCACTCGTCCCATATTTGTTGTTTGATGATGTGTTTGGCGACGCATAGCGGAAACGCATTGTACGAAATGCTCCTGTGTTGTGTGGCAGCAGATTTCGCGTTCGCGTCGGCCTCTTCGTTTCCGATAATACCGATGTGGGCCTTAACCCAGGCGAACACGATGTTCTTGCGTCCTGTGATTGAGTTGATGAGTGATTGAATTGATGTAACAATGGGGTGACTGTTGGCAGAGTTTTCTATTGCTTTGATTGCTGATTGGCTGTCTGAATATATTGTTGCGTCAGTGGTGAGGTTTGCGTCCGCCCAAATCAGCGCGTCATTTAACGCATAGAGCTCGGCTTGAAATACCGAACAGTTGTTGTTTAGTTTGTGTTTACGTTTGATTACGCGTCCAGATGGTAAGTATATGACGCATGACGCGCCGACCTGTCCTGTATCTAATTTGCTGCCGTCGGTGTAGATGTTGGTTTCTGACGCGATCGCGTCAACTTCTTCTTGCGTCACTACTTCTCTATGATGGAATGTTTGCCGTTTCGATGGATGGAGTTTGTCTTCAGGTTTGACGCGAACTTCAAGTGTCACGTCATCAGGAATGGAAAAACAAACGCGTGTGCGTTTTACTTCTTCTATTTGGTATACTTCACGTATTTTCAGATGCAGTGGTGTGAACTGGGCAATGGCCAACGCAGAGACGGCTGATATTGTGTGAAAGCCTCTGATCGCTCGTATTGCAAATGATCTTTGAAATGAACGCAATGCAGACTTGACGCTGGTGCGTTCAGCTGACGCGCCCCAGACTCCGGCTGCGTATGTTATTATTGGTTCGATGACTTGTCTGTAAATGATCGTTACGTTTTCCGGGTGTACACCCCACGTCGGCCTTACAAACTTGCACAAGTTTTTGAATACTCGCGTCGCCTTGAGTATCGCGTGCTTTGCGTGCGCAATAAAGTTGAGATTTCTGTCGATTATGACGCCGAGGAGTTTGATTTGGTTTTCAAACGCGATCTGCGTTCCGTTCATATGTATGTTAGCTGACGCGGACGCGGGGGTGAACGTTATGGCTTGTGTTTTGGTTGGACTGAATGTGAGTTTTACACTCTTTCCCCACTCGCTTATTATTTTGAGTGCATTATTGGTCGCCTCTTCGACGCGCTGTCGGTTGACTTCGCTCACCAAGAGAAGTACGTCGTCAGCGAACGCCTGGATATGACATCCGTTTGGGAGCAACATATTTAGCAGTTCGTCTAATATTATGTTCCAAAACGTTGGTCCACACACTGATCCCTGGACGCAGCCCTTTGTCATTTGTTTGGTCGATTTCGCGTCGGCATAGTTTAGTGTGACGCAGCGCTCATTGAAATAGCTTTGTATTAAACCGAATATATTTTTAGGACATTTCGTGCGTCGAAGGCCTTCGAACAGCGCGGGCCACCAAGCATTATCAAACGCAGCTTTGATGTCTAGAGAGACGCCGATTACTTGACGCCGTTTACCTTTTGCGTTTTTGATGAAATTGATTGCTGTCTGAAGCGCGTCTGTAGTTGATGTTTGCTCTTTGAATCCAAACTGGTGTTCGTTCCATTCGCGTCGTGACTGTGCGTCGTATGTGAGGCGTCGGATGAATAGCTTCTCGAGTACTTTCCCAAATATGGGTAAGAGCCCGATGGGACGATATGACGCGAGATCTGTATAATCTGTTTTGCCAGGTTTTGGAAGGATCTTGACGTAAGCCAATTTCCATGGCGTCGGGAAGTGTTGTATTTGAAGGCATCGGTTGTAAAGCGACGCGAGTGTGTCGACGTATTTCTCAGCAAAACGTAGGCATATGTCTGACGTGAGGTTGTCTACACCAGGAGCTCTGTTTGGGTTCATAGTCTTTAAGCATAACAAGACCTCGTCTGTAGTGAATGGCGGCTCATCATTGGTAGGAGGTGATGCGTCTGATTGGTGACGCAGGACGCGATGTCTAGCAGTTGTGTCGGAGTTGTCGTCGGGATAAAAGTGATTGATTAGTGCGTCAGCTGTTTGCTGACTTGTATTTGTGAAATTGTTGTTGAGACGCAGTGTTGTTGGAGGTCTTTGTTTTGGCGCGTCTTTGATGAGTCTGTTTGTGAGTGACCACACATCTTCTTTGTTCTGTTTGTTACAGAATTCTTTGAAGTGTTTCGTTGACGCCTGACGCAAGGCTTTTGTGTATCTCTTTTTAGCAGATTGTAAACCACTGACATCTGCCCTTATGTCTTGACCTCTTGCCTTTAAATAGCTGACTCTATGGTGCAGACGCAAGACTTCACGCTTGTGACTATCTAGTTCTTCGCTCCACCAGGGATTGTACGGCTTCGTGTTTCCGCGTAATTTCATTGACGCAAAGCATGCGTCGCGGATAGAGTTTGTGAGTCTTTCGACGATATCATCAAGTGCTTCTGCGTCCAGCCCTTCAAGCAATCAAACGCAGTTGGGACTGCGTGTATGATAACTGCGGTTAAGACACAGCTTAAAGAGGGTTAATCGGCAAAACAACAACTTTATCATACAGCTCAGCGCACAAAACGACTACACTAGCGCAGGTTTAAAAGCAAACTTAAAGTCTATTGCTTCGTGATCAGAGGACGGACATGCGTCATGATTTACGGTCCACTCACTGATAAATGTTATTGCGTTGTTTGACGCGATAGTCACGTCAGGTATCGATGTACGGGGAACACCATGACTTACAGCACTGAATGTTTGCGTCTGACCTAATAATGTATATGAATTGACTATCCATCTCTAACGCAGTTGCTAACGCAAAGGCGCAAGCAGTCGCGAAAGTGTCGGGGTCAGTATCACCACACGCAACTACAGTGGAGGCTACTACTGCTCTCTAGGCTGCGTCTCGTAAAAAAGTTTACTTAACGCGTCCATTGTGTCCCTCGGGTCTGCGTCTGGTTCTATATACACTGACGCAATGAATAGTTTGCGTTGTCTTGCGTTCACTTGCACTACAGATAGGTTTGGAGTCGATAGTTGTGTTATACCTAAAGTATGGCCGAACTGTTCCTTCACGACGACGCACGCTTTGACGCGGTCGCCTGATGAGAACTGATGAATGGTTAGTCCTGGTATGTTTGCGACGCGAGATGAGTTGCCGACGTATGGTTCACTGATTAATGCAATTGAATAGTCATTTGATGCGAAATAATGTAGGAGTTCTCGGTGAGATGCAGAGCATCTCATCACGTTGGCTTGAAGTATACGAATGGGTTTAGTATCCATAGTCGACGCGCTCATTGATTCGCTGTTTTAGGACTTTGATTTTGGGGCACTGTTTGACTGACGTGGCGCTGTGTTTGTCATTGACGCAGCCGCCGGTCTTGACATTGTGGTTGTGACAGTTAAAACATCTGGTTTTCCCTGCGTCTTTACTGTCGGGACAATTTCTAAAGGTGTGTTCGGTTGACGCACAATGAGAACACGGCTCAGTTACTGACGTACACTTAGCTTTTGTATGGCCGAATTGGAGACACTTAAAACACTGTGTGAATGGAGAGAAGTCACTGACGTGGACGCGTTGATGGTCGATGTTGACGCGAGAAAGTTGAAGTAATTCGTCGCGAATCTTTGGGGTGACCTCAATGATTGCGTTGTAGAGCTTATCACTGCGATTGTTACGCAGAAAACACAGACGTATATCATTTCCTGACGCGAAGACCTTGTCGACACCTTTGTTTTGACGCCGAATCAGATCTACGATCTCTTTGCTGTCGACGTCCTTGTGAACGCCTTTGATGATCATCATCGGGCGTCGGCGTTTAGCCTCTTCGCAGTTCAGCTCTTTAACTGTTTTCAACTTAGATATTATTGCGTCGCATTGCTTCGCGTCATCGAATTCGACGCGAAGTTTATTGTTTGATACGTTTTGTATTCTTGCAGGTGTGAATATCTCTTCTCTATAGTTGCAGTGTTTGTTGAACAGATTGAGTGCTTCGCGTTGGCTTTGTGTTGCGTCAGTTGTTGAGATGATGAGTGCAGGACGCGATGCAGGAGTCTTGATATGCTTTGGTTGCTTTGACGCA